GGTCCAAAGCCCGGGTAAAGAAGGAGGGTTGGGCATGACGTTAGCGACCCCATCCTGTAGAAAACTAGCCAACCAGAAAAAAAATATTCAAACCAAGTAAGTACATTGTTTAGAAGGGTTCCAGAACTTTCCAGAAGCCCAAAGCCATCTAAAATGCTATAAATACCCTAAATTTTTTGTACATAAACTAACCATGCAGTAAAGTGTTCTTTTCGTATTTTACACCTTTTCTCTCGTGTTCAAGTTGCCGTCTAGATTTAGCCAGGGAGGGGGTGGTTACCCAATCCTAATCAATCTGCTTTACTCACAGATTTTCATTATTCTTACTATAATTATCACTTGTGAATTCTACCTTTTTCTACTACTATAATGATGACCGGATATTTATCAATGTTAATTAATATCTATTGTGGTGTGTGCTACTGACATTGACAGATATAAGTAGTATGTATGAGCAATCGAAAGTGAAATACCTAGTGGCAGAAGATTAAGAAGATGAAAGAAAAGGGAACGAGAACAGAGAATGATTGATGTGAAAATGAAGGAATAGTGAAGTCTGAGATGATTGATTGACATATTGCAAATGAAGTATTCACTATATAGATCTCAGATTTTACTCAGTGATTCTGTAATTTTGTATTCAATTACATTCGATTGTCCGCACTTGTGTTCTCGTTCATTACAGTATCAATATCAAATGGAATATATCAGATCATTGTTGTTTTTGTTTCTATAAGGTTCCACTACAAGTTCATTGATGAAACGATTCACAAACGGAATATACCTAATGTGATATAAAATAAGCAAAAAATTGATTCAGTGAAGAGTTCTCTTTTCGGTGAATACATTTTCAACACTGTACAATTGTAAATATAATTACTTATTCATGACGATGATAATAATTACAATATTAGTGATAATAGGGATTTTGATAAACATGTTAACAGTGGAGTAGAACGAGCAAAGGTATTGCAATGTTATTTTTATCAGGGAAACTAATAATAGTTTTATTATTGAGGGATTGAATATAGATCATAAAGATAGATTGAGAAAGAAAAACCTCAGAATGCCAAGATAAAATGTTGGAATTGAAATGAACTATAATCCGGAGGACTAGAGAAACAGAAGAAAAAACCAGTTGAAGGTACAAGGTCTATAGAGAAGATAGACGGGAAGCAGATGGCTATGAAGGTAGAAAATTACGAAAGATAAACGCCATGATAGAAGAAGAGGTTGTAATAATTTTTTTTGGATACAATTTTGGTTTATCCAGATGCTTCGGCAATTTTAAGAAGGTGCAATATAACTACCTTTGACAGCATTATACTGACCTTGTAAATGACTTTGAACGTAGAGTCCTCTTTGATTGAATGACTTGTGTTCACAAGATGTTCGATTAGTGAGTCGTTTACGCCTCTTTTTAACTACGCTGGGCAATGTTCTTGAATTCTTTTAAATAAAGTACGCATCTAACGACCTGGCTTCATATCAGCAGGTAATTGATAAATAAACATTGAGTTGGTCAGATAATTTATCCTTAAGATTATTGATCGGTTGGAAAAGGTGTTGCGAAGAACGTTCCTTTTAGAGGATTGGAAATTCTGTTCTTTAGGAAACATGTAACTTCGTTACCCCTAAAATAAATTCTCATGCAAAGTGTTTTCTTTTCAACCGAGGTTATTTGTGCTTTAGGCGGTTTAGGTTTTATATTCATGTCCATAGAATAGATATCATTTTTGATCAAATTCATGAACCGATCAAGGTTAGACCACCATTGAAAACCTGGAAGCACTGGACAGTTGTTTCGTCCTAGTATAAGACTCCTCAGCAGTACGCACCCATGATCCCACAGACATTACTCACATAATACAGGAGTATATTTCCCTCTAATTAATAGCATGCATTGTGATTTAATTGTAACCCAATCACTTAAAAGACGTAATTCCCTTATCAAAACTCGGATAAGTTATAGTTCGAGGTTTGTAAAATTTGCATGATGAGCAACGAATTGCCTCTTAAAACTGTAGATACTCTTCGGTGACAAGTACCTTCTAATACGACATGTAGGTCCAGTACTTCATGACGACTGATTTCAGCCAGATGGTATACACTCACATATTTTTTCCTCAGGAAACCTTATGAAAACAATTCACTTAATTGAGGATGAAATCTTTTTTAAACTAACTACAAACACTGACGACTATTTCAATTTCTTTAAAGCTAGAAAAAATATTTCCATGTTTAGCTCTCTTCTAGGATTTCCAACTGCAGATATTGAAGCAGTACAGGAACATCGACATCATTTCTAACTTCATTAACTGGATTACAGAAATAATATCAAGTTATGGAATTGCACAAACTACATGCAAATATAACGAACATTTGCCAGTACACGATTGACCTTAAACAATCCTGTTTATTAGTAGACAATAGAATTTCGTGGTCACCGTCATTTTAGAAATATAAGTTTAACTACTTATAATACGTTCGAGTAGTCAAAACTCCAAGTGCAAACATATCGAGAACGGTATGATTAGGGAAGTGGCAATCAACACCGTGAAAACTTGGGCGAAATCTGAAAATGAATTACTTATTGAATAACTCGGAACGAGTAGCAGCACCTCTGTATAATGTTTAAAACATTTAAAATTCTACAGAAAATTGGTCGCTCAGACTATTTTTATGTAAATCAACCCTAACCATGATGGGGATTAATATGCGAATCGAAACAACTTGCATTTTTAAACACGTCCAAAAAGATGGATGTATTGCAGCCATATAGCTGCATTTACATATTTTTCTCGTTTGAATAAAGCGACGGAGGGACCTATAAAAAACTCCGATATTATTAAAAATAATTACGTAAAACGTGTGTAACCTATATAACATTATTTTTCCGAAAAAACTACTAATCTATAATAACCGTTTTGTAGCTGGTTAATCAACAACAAACGGAAATTCGTGGTGGTTATTTTTAGAATCACTACTGGGAATTCATACACTATAATTAAACCTTAGGAATGCCAGAATGAGCAGTAAACAACAACTAGTTAGTCAGTTACAACGTAGGACCAGGCACATTTATGCATCGGTCCAAGTTGCCATACCACATTAGCACAACAAAATGAACACCAAATTCATAAAAAGTTACTTTAATGTTAGTAGTACATAAAAAGATTGTATATAAGAACATAATACAGGAAGAAAAATGTAAATATAAGAGAAAGATTGCATATAGAGATATAGTACAAGAAGAAAGAATTGGTTCGCAGAAAGAAAGATATGAAGCGATTTTAATCTCTTAGTTTAAGGGAACACAAAGAGTGTATACACCTACGCCATTGTGATCTATTCTGAGCCATGTCACCAAGAGTCTCCAACCATTGGTTACGATAGTCACGCGGATCCCAACCAAGTAGTCTGGATCTTCCAACATGGCTCAGACTAAAAGTTAGTGACTTCAAGCACTGATGCCACGTTTTGGTTTGGCCGCCCCTAACTTACTTCCAACCATCTCCAATACCGGTTAGCGTTACACGTCGTGGTAATCGGTGTTGAGATATAGGTAACACGTGTATCAACCATCTTAGTCGATGAAGATTCACAACTTCATCAACTGATTTACCATCATTCCCTAATATCCTGTATCTAACCTCACTATTACTTACCCCTCGGTAATCGTAGCAGATACAAGCAACAACAACTAGATAAACATGATAATAGTCATTATAGATTGATCGATAAATATAACAACAGGATCAGTTAAGGAACAAGAGAAAACAAACAGACAGATCAACAAACAACCGCCCTCCCCCCAATTTTTTCTTGTAAATTAATACATTCGTACATAAATATCAATGAAGTAATCATAACAACACATAAAGTCAACCCATCAAATGAATAAGTGAATTTCTTTGTTTATTTTTATATTTCTATAAATAAAACAAAAAAATAAATAAATAAACAAAATTTCACTTATAATAATAAGGATAACAATATGATATTAAATAATAAAATTTTACAATGAAAGTTATGGTAGACTTAAGGAAAGAAAGAAAGAATCTAATAATTTACAATAATAAATAAGTGCACAACTACTTGATAGGGAATAGTTGAAATATACTGGTCAGTGGGCCTATGCTCCATTTGGGGGGTAACAGGAATAAGTAGGTAACTAAGTAAGTGTAAATATACTGACTAGCTAAGTCATTAACTATTTTCCTTAGTGAATTTGACTCATTTTGTTTGATTGTAAGAAGAAAAACGCACACACGTACACATACATACATACATATACATCATCCAGTATTCATGCGATAAAGTCAGATGAGAAATGAAGAAAAAACAACAACAACACTACTCATATCATCATAATTGAAGGTTTATCCGAATAATAATTCTATTATTTGATTGTTTTTAGAAGATAACAAAGTAACAGAAAATGGGAAAGAGATCCCCCTAGTAACTACTACTACTACTAGTAGTAGTAGTAGTAAGTATAGATCAATTTTATTTTGAACATGTAATCACTATTAAGTGTAAGAGTAGATTGAAAAAAAAGAAAACACACACCAAAAAAAGCACAGACCAAATTACATCATATGTAATGATGTATAGATTGGTCGATAGATCGTTACGATGAAACACCACCACCATTCTAGTTACAAACACAAACACACACACAGACAAAGGGACACTAGGATTGAATTACATTTACATATTACTAGGAAAAAAGCAAATATGTATACATAAATTAACTGAAGGTTAATGATAATAATGAATGATCAACTATTTTATGTATAATGTGCAAATAACCCATTTACATGTACAACATGATCAATTTTAACAACAATAATTGCCTTACTCAATATTCATAAGAAATTATGATTATTATAGTAGGCTAAACAACAGTATAATCATAGTAAACTGAACTAATTAACCAACTAACTCACTGACTGATTAATTAATCAGCTATGAATAAATCAATCAATCATGAAATTGTTAAAAGAAAACAGAGATAAATTAAAGAGGATCTACAAAGAATTAACGTTTCTGTTTTCGTCTATGACGTCGTTTATTATTCTTAGATGATGATGATGATGGTGTGAATGTTGTGACGACTCCTCCCGATGAGGATATTGATGATTCAGAAAACTGTTTAACATTATTAATATCAATTATAGACTGTGTAGAATGATCAATATCTGTGGAATTATTATTATTATTAATGTTATCATCAATATCAATATCATGATTTTGTACTAATTCTGATAAACTTGTTAAATGATTTACAGGAATTAAAGAGTTTGATGTTGTTGTTGTTGTTGTTGCTGACCTCTTACATGATTCATTATTTCTTAAATGACCATAAAATTCCATATTTGATGATGGTAATGATGAAGATAATAATAATACATTAGATGATGTATGTAAATTATCTATCGATCCAAATGGATAATTATTCATTGAGATTGTTCGATTCATAAATGACTGTCGTAAACTAGACCAATCATAATGATCATTCTCTTGAAATGATAAAGAATTTTGTTGAATATTATTATTCCAACAAATAGGATCTATTATTTTATCAATCATTGAATAATCATGAATATCATTGGGATCTCGAATATTGGTAGTACTAGTACTAGTAGTAGTTGCATTATTATTATTATCAGAAAGAGTATTCAATGAAAGATTGTAATGGTGTTTTAATGCGTCAATTAATTCAACAGCATAACCGACCGTTTTTAAATTTCCATTCCATGTTAATATAAATTGTCGACCAATTTCAATTAATTCTGGATGACGTGTAAAGCGTAGTAAGATGTACGTTGTATCATCTAAATGATTCTGAGAAACAAACAAACAAATGGTAAACTAAATATTTATTTTTCATAGAATACTTAACAATTGAACAATCCAAATGATGAGTAATAACCAATTTAGTTAAAATGTAGGTGGGTGACATACTGTGGTGTGAGCTACTTATATGCACATAAATAGTATATAACGATGATCAGTCTTAAAATGTATTTCAGTAGAAGACGAGAAGGAAAGAAAGGGAATGGAATGCAATTGGTATGAAAATGTAGGAACAATGAAATCTGAGACAATGGACTGATATTTGCAAAAGGAACAGTCAAGTTTGAGACGATGGATTGATAGTTTGCAAATTAACGGTTTACTATATGGTTTTCAAAATTTATTAAGATGCTTTGTAATTTTGTGCTCAGATACATTCAATTGTCCCACTGGTGTACTTGTTCAATACAATATTACTTGTTGCCTTAATGATCCAATCCAATGAACATCATGTTGATCCGGTAGCGAATTGTTATCAACTGAAGTCGTTGGAATATTCATTATTTCTACTCAATTACTGTTTACCTCGAAACGCAATATTTGCTCTTGTACGAGTAAGTTGGGAGAAATGTAGGAGTGGCCAATCTAAAATATGACATCAGTTCATAAAACTACCGATGGTTGAATTAAATCATGTTAGTATGTATAGACTATCTGGATAGGGTTTACTCAATAATTGATGTCCATGGTTGGAAACGTTGCGTGACATGACTCAGAAATCAGTTAAAATGGAGTAAATGGATTCGCTTTTTATCGTCACTTTAGATTATAATTTTCAGAATGACCTCATACTTTTTATTCCACCAGTTCATTTTTTCTACACGAATCATACTGTCTGTGCCTAATATTTTATTATTGATACTATTACAACTCCAAGTACTCTGGGATTAGTCTGGAAGATTTCATTTCACTGTATTGATATGGAATGGCAGGTTCAAATGATGCACTTCTGTGCCACGGTCTATATCACATGTGACTGAGTGAACACGGTGAGCCGTTCATAACGTCTGCTTTTTCAATCAACTGTGCAGAGTGAGAAGTCTAATAATGCATAGGAACTTATAGTGCCACTAATAATTATGTAAACAATTAATCCAGACAATGATGTGTGAATAATGATCTTGGCTACGTGAATAACCAACACAACAGGATGACTGTATTTACATTTATCACATATCATGGGACCTAGAGAAAGTATAAAATTTGTGCGAAATCGTCTGACCCATCATATATTTGAATATCATTCTATTTACTTTAATTTGAGCCCCAAAATACTCTGGTAAGGGAGAGGGTGGAAAGACTCGCTCTCCTTATCCAAATGATCTCGTATTTCCCGAAGTATACAGCTACTGTCAGGGGATTCCAACTCACTGCCTTATCGTGCTAGGGGTGTTGTTTACGAAATTGAGAGAACTAAAAGTGAATGTCCGCCGTTCTAACCGGACTGGCGGGTATGAAGGATTCAAATAGGGGAGTAGGGAAACCCTGATTGCAAACCAATGTTGCACATGATCTCTAGGGTCCTGGGGGAACAAACGGCGTATGAACCTATTGTTGGTTACCGACTACTATGGGATCGCATCTCCTGACATTGTTCCACTGCCTTGTGGATAAAACCTTGAAGTCAAAGGCTTAGGCAGTTGGTCCCAACGAAAACCACCTGTTTCAGTTCGAGTATCCAGACAGTATGATTTCCGTCTATCAACCAAAGGACGTGTTTAATGCGCAGCAGTTCGTTCCGTCCTACTTTATGGCTGTGAAACATGGCCGGTAAGAGTAGAGGATATTCGTAGGTTACTAGTATTCGATCATAGGTGTCATAGAAACATTGCTCGTATATCCTGGGACCACCGAGTAAGTAATGCAGTTGTTAGGAAACGGATACTAGGTAAGGATGACAAATCAATTGATGAAGTAGTGAAACTTCATCAGTTGAGATGGCTGGGGCACGTGTTACGTATGCACAACCCAACCACCGACTGCCCCGACGTGCGATGTTTTATGGTGTAGAATAGTGTAAGTTGGAAGAAAGCTAGAGGCGGTCAGACCAAAACATGGCACAAATCCATGAAGTCACTGACAAGTGGACTGAGCCATGTTAGTAGGTGTCGACTACCTGATTGGGGACCGCGAGATGATAGCAACCGATAGTTAGAGACCTTCAATGACATAGCTGAAAATCATTTGCAATGGTGCAGGTTCATCCACTCTTTGTGTTCACCCAAATTCGAATCTTCTGATTTCTTCATGTCCCTTTCTTTTTTCTCTTTCTAAATTTATTTCACTGGATTATACTCCTTGGATAACAACTTCAAACCCTAATGTTTTCAATTATTGCTTATACTTTTACTACCTCTACCACTATGAGATTTGAATGGACAATTGTATCTGTGTACTAATGTGGTATGGCAAGTTGAACTGATGTACGTACGTACGAAGTTCTACGTTCTTACTGACTGATCCAGACAGTATCCCAGCCCAAAAACAAATTCAATGATTTGTGTGGCGCATATATATGTTGGTGCCCCTTTGTACGAATGTTCATATGTTTAATTAAGTAAGATGTGAACACACTGATAGTGTTTGGACGAGATAAAACACATGATCATGCTTTAATTTAGTGTGGTACAACACACAGCAATCACCTGTTAATGCTTCAGTGTAAAACCCACTTTTTAATTTCCATTATTTTTAGTTACGTATGATATTTATTGAGATATTATAATAAATTTGTGCATTTTTTATTTATTTTAACACATAGATATTGGCACAAGGAGGCACCAAATACATATGCACCACACAAATCTCATCCGATATGTGTGAGGGCTGTGATTAATTGATAACTTGTTGTCGTATTATTTCTGAAAGGGAATGAAATCTTCATCTACCATAGCCTTTGTATTGGTTACTTCATGTGAATCTCAATATTTCGTGACTCCTTTTTCCCATTGAGGTTTAAGACTGCAATTGATCAGCCTGTTATTGGCATATGTGCATACTGTGCGTGCGCCTCGATATTGCCTGAATTCACAATCTTTTTCTAAGCAAAGATGGATAGTGGATGGCAGTGGAATCCAGTACGCACGTTTCGTCCTATTTGGGACTCATCAACTGGATGTACTCGCGTCTCAGAGTTGATGTTCACTCCGGGACTCAAACCCAGTACCATTTGCTCCAAACGCCATCGCGTTATCCACTTAGTTACTGAGTCCTGATAGCCACTTGCTTGTGCAATGGGGTGAATTTAAATTCACTTAGTATTGTTTTGCTTGTATTTTCCGATTGTGGTTTAAGACTACAATTGGAAACGTAAATCCTATTTAGGCAACAGATTGAACACGTTTGAGACAACCAACTTAATCCAGGAATTTTATCCTACTTTCAAATATTTAGTCTTAAAAATTAAAAGCACTCCTATTCAACGGGTAACACATAAAATACGAAGATTAAGAAAGTTAGCAATATGTGATTACTGACGTTTACAATATCTGATCTATGCATTGAGTACTCTACTTAAATATAACAGTGAATAAAATGAGAAAAAAAAGCAAATAATCAGTTAGTTCATTTCTCAAAAGAATGACAGTTTCTCTCTTTTTCAATCAAACATCATTCATAATCACGAAAGCAGTGTTTCTAGAAATTAAGAGTAATTTCATAAATGGACAACTAGTTGTTACACAAGAAATATATATGTGACCTGGGCATGGCTGTTACAACATGGCGTGATGGTCAGGCTTGAATATTATGACGATAAAATCGAGACATATTATCTAGAACACTCTTTTTTTTATATCCGATTATCCCAACCAGGTCAGTTGGAGAGCAGTAGGACTAAAATTAGTAAACTTAGGGTCTAAGGGTGAAATAGCACTGCCAATTGTGCAAGGGTGAGGGGATAATAAGGAGTTTATTTCAGACAACCGATATCTCTGGAGACGCTGTCTGAGCACAGCAGAAGAAAGTCATTCAAAAAGATCGACTCCAAACGTAGTGCACCTCGTTTTGCTCCATAGGTTTCTGTATCGCGAGGTAAGAGTTGACAACACATTAAAACTACTCGAAATAAAGTCGGACTGAGACAGTTATCCCTTGAACACTGTGATCCGTATATCAGGTCGTGGAGATCACTCCAAACCCAAGTTCGTTTTCACGTTTATTGTATTTCTGACATTTCGTGACTTAGCGTGAACCACTTCTTCAGAATAAATAAATAACTGAATTTACTCTGAAGAAGTGGCTTACATTGCCCCCAAGTGCCCTGGTATGGCCGAGGGTGGGGAGAGTCAGCTCTCTTGCTCTCGAAATTCTCTCACATGGTCACGTGCATACAACCACTGTTAGGGAAGTCCTGCTCACTACCTTCTCGTGATGGGGGTGTTGTTTACGAAATTGAGAGGATGAAAAGTGAATGTAAGGCGCTTTAACCGGGCTCATGGATATGAAGGACCCATGTAGGGGAGTTAGTTGGAAAACCCTGATTCCAAACAAATGGTGTACATGGGCTCCAATATCCTGAAGGAACAAATGGCGCATGAATCAATTGTTGGTCACCGGCCACCATGGGTATGCATCTTTCTGACGTTGCTCCACTGCCTTGTGGACCAGATCTTTAGGTCAAAGGCTCAGGGTGTGCCCCCTTGAAAAAACCACCTGTTTCGGTTTGAGCACCCAGACAGTATCTCAGCCCTCACACAAATCGAATGATTTATGTGGCGCATATCTATTTGGTGCCTTTTTGTACCAATGTTTATGTGTTTAAATAAATAAATAAGCTCACAAAACGTCAGAAATATAATTTTTTTACTCATCGGGATATAACAAATATATATTTATTACTAATCACGTTTTTTGTTGTACAGTGAGTGAATAAAGAAAACCTTGTTTGTTGACCAAGAATATTATCTTTTGGAATTCAGTTTATCAAAAAGGTTTGTGTGAATAATTGTCTCATAAAGAGTTATCCATTGGCCACAACGTATTACTGAACTTTATCTATCGATTGATGTACTACTTATGGTTTTATTAAGGAAACATGCATTGTATCGTGTATCGTAGTATATTTCCAAAACAATAATCAACATGGTATAGATTTCGCATGAACTCAAAATACCATATCATACATTAGCGCGATGAGATGAAGTTAACAGAGTGAGTAGCAAAGTTAGCGGTTGGACATGAAACCCTGTATCTGGGGTTTTATTTGCATTTTAATTTCACCGGAGGTTACTTGCGGCATGAATAGCTCACTGATAACAAAGGTGGGTGACATAGGATCGGATCTGCCAAGGAACATCAGTTCCCTCAAGATTACAGGTACAGATTGTTGCCAAGCTTCAAATAGCACAAAACTTAGCTCCAGGGTTTTCTGTCCACTACCTCAAAACACAACCTTACATCTCAGCATAGCGCACGCGATCTCGAGTTACTTAGACTAGTGGCCACACTGCAACACGATCGGTAAAATTCAATCAGCACTACGAAGTTAACATACATGAAATTGGTCAATACTCAGTGGTCAATCAGTAGCAAGGGAGTCGAAATAATATCATAATCAATTATAGTAAAAAGAATGAACACTGAAGGATACAGATCGAAAAGAATATATGTATAGAGGATTAACAAAACTCAATATGCAGAGGAAGATAAAGAGTGATAACTACTGTGTCACTGCTACTGACTCTGGATTATGTCATTCAACGTCTAAACAACCACTGATGGTGCAAACTCCTTCCAAGCAGATAGTATATATTTACTAATACAGATGAGTTCAACGGCCATTGATTTTATAATCTAATGATGTTACGTCTCAGCCTACTGTGGGAGAGAACAAACCAGCTTCCAGCTGAAGAGGAAATTAGGAAAAGACGATAGAAATGGATAGGACATACATTACGCAAATCATCAAACTGCATCACGAGGCAAGCCGTAACTTGGAATTCTGAAGGGAAACGGAAATGAGGAAGGCCAAAGAACACATCACGTTGGGAAATAGGAGCAGATATGAAAAGGATGAATAACAACTGTAAAGAGCTGGAAAGGATTGCCCAGGACAGGGTTGGATGAAGAATGCTGGTCAGCAGCCTATGCTCCTCGACGAGGAGTAACAGGCGTAAGTAAGTAAAGTGTTACGTCTGTTAACCTATGTGGAACTCAATATTTTAAGCATCCGCCTATGAACCAGGACAGAGTTTAATACGGAATCCTGGTGGGTGACCTATGCTCCGCTACGAGGGGTAACAGGCGTAAGTAAATAGATAAGTATCAGCCAGTTAAAGTTCTTTGTTATCTATCTCGAACAAAAAAAAGAAATGATTTATCAATCGGAATAATCATTTACAAACCTCATTATTCACCATATAATCTTTCAAGTTGTTCTGTTGCATTTCTTGTTCATGTTTACATTGATTTATCGTTTCTAGTACAACACCAGTTTGACAAACACATCCAGCATAAATACTTACACGTTGTCCAATTGATGGAATTGGCGTTAAAATTACCGGTGGATTGCCTAATTTAAAAGATACTATAGGTAGACGACGAATTAGTTTCAATTTAACTGTCCATACTACGGTGAAATTAATACAATGTTTAGATTTTAATTGTTCATTCCAAATAAATTCAGATGGTGATGATGATAGCGGGGAAGAATCGATGGTACATGGTAATAATCCCGGTGATGATGTTTTAAACAATGAATATGCAGTTAATAACATTGGATAAGTGAGAAGAATCATTCCACGACGTATTTTTATTGGTGAATAAAATTGATAAATATCCGACGGTGATGACGATAGACTGTTGACATTCTTCTTTTTATTATTATTATGTGGAATATTCTCTTCATTCCCAGTACAGTTATCATCATCATCATTACAAATATTGTCATTATTATTACCGAATAATGAAAATGACTTTTTATGATCATTCATTGTTCTGTAAGATGATGTTAATGACAGTGAAGTGGGTGATGATATACTATGTAAGATGCTTTGACGTTGTTTATCATTCATACTATTCCATGATTTTGGTAAAAAATACACCTCCATTGATGCTGACTGTCCAGCGTATACAATATCATGTACTTGACGATTATGCATTAAACTAACAATTTGAACTGGATAGAAATCACCAAACTACAAAAAAAAAGAAACAGAAGGGGACAATTTTACGTCAAGGAGATAAAGTAAAAGAGCCTTGTTCGTCAGTCATAAGCAACGTAAAACCTGGTACATATGTGAATCGGTTCAAGTTAACACACTAGGTTAACAAAAAGAGATGAAATTATTAAGATGAGTACTAGAGAAATAGTGTCAGTGATCACAAAAGTGATTAAGTATAGAAGATATCATTCGAGAAGAAAAAATAAAACAGTTTTGGAATTCTGGACACAAAGGAAGACAAACAGTGAATGCATCTGAGTCATCTCAACCAGCATATCCAACCATGAGTGGCAATTATTGCGTGGGCATTAAACTAACATGGCTCAGACCGACTGTTATATCCCGATGAGAATAATGAATGGTAACTGTTGGAATGTATTACTAGAGTAATACTATACCTATATTTTTATCGTATAATTGTTAAGTAACTAAACTATGCATATTCGTGTTCCTCTTATCATAAGCTTTATTTTGACTTATGGACTATTATTATACCATTTACCATTCTCGAGTTATGCCCAGTCTATCAATTACTATCTCCCACAATCACAGCCACTTTTGGCTAAATCTTGTACAAATGTCATTTTTTATTTTATGGTGAGATGTGATCTGTCTGGTTGGTATATAAACCCAGTTTGTTTGAAATAAATGGTTCATATCACAGAGGCTGAGATTGGTGTTCTGAACTTAACAGGCAGGGCTAGGCGGGAAACAGGATCACTAAGGACTCTACACTGCTCGTACAGGTTTGATAAGTCATTGATCCTGTCGACAATTCACTGTTCTCTAATTGGTGGTATCATCACGTTATACATTAATAAGGACACAGGGCACAAGTTACAACACCAACGTCCAATGATTTCATGGACTGATGATACGCTTTAGTTTTGACTTCTTTAGCTTTCTTCCAACCTACAGATACTCCAGTCAATATCGCCTATCGAGATGGGCAGTGATCGGACATAAGTAACACATTCTCCAGTTTCATCAGTCGATTAAAACTCACAGTATTATTTTATCAACCAATTTGACAGTCTTATTTGTTACCTTGAATTTAATTTCAGCACCAATCAATGCGTAGTCCCAATATACACGACTGATAATTCGAAGGTATCCTGTTATCAAATACTGCTAAATTTACGGATATCCTCTATTTTTAAAGACCATACTTCACAAGCATAGAGTAGAACATGACAAACTGTTGAGTAGTATACTTATCCCTTGATTAATAGACAAATATCTTGCCTATGCTATAGGTGGCCACCAGAACTAATGAGGCTTCCAAGAACCATTCAACTACTTTAATCTTCATAATCAATCTGAAGAATAACATAGACTAATCTCTAAAGTAAAATGTTGTATCTCATTCAATAATTATGAATAATAATGAATATAAAAATTTACTTGATCTGGTCCAAGCCATAATATTTGATTATTTAATAATTGACCAAGTTGTACACGTCCAACTATAACTGGATTAGAAACCCCTGGTATTTGTGTAAATACTTGATTAATCCAAAATAATGTACCATTAAAATCACGATAAGTTTTAATAATTTTCATTTGTTCATTTATTTTATTAAATATGAATTGAATATGATTTTCATTGGAAAATTTATTGAATTCTAAAGATTGTTGTTGTTGTTGTTGATGAGGATGGGGATGATGATCTGGATTTCGATGATCAGAAGATTCAAATGGATGGATTGTTGTTGTTGATGATGGTGACATGGATAACGTTGGCATTGGTGATTGATTTAAACAACTTAGACGACTTAAAAAATGCATTAAGTTATCAATACCTTGACCAGTGACAGATGAAACAGGAAAAAATGGTGGCATAAAATAATCATCATTGAAATCCCCTCTATTAAAGATAAAAATTTCAAGGAAAGAAAATTTAACAATGAAAGAATATAATAGGAATGATAATAATACATTTTTATTACCAGTATAAGGGTTGTGAAGATTACTAAGTTTTTGATTGAGATCATGAGCTGATTGATGTTAGACCATTGTTGGAAACTTGGAAGCACTGAACGGCCGTTTCGTACAAATATGGAACTCTTCAACAATGTATAACCATGACCTTGTATTCTGCAATCAGACTCAACACATTCGGTCTCGCATATGAACACCTAACTATACCACAGACGTTTGGAGGTTGTGTTTGCGAGCGAGACCGAAGATCTTGAGTCGCATTCCAGCGTACAGGACAGTGTGTGTACACTACTGAGGAGTCCCATATTTGGACGAAAATGTCGTGTGGTGCTTCCATGTTTTCAATGGTGATCTAGCTAAGATCAGTTCGCGATTTAAACAATGAAAATAATATATTTGTAAATATCTAAATGAGTAATAAAGATGAATTTCTGACGTTTCGTGATATGGTGTAAGTCACTTCTTTAGAGAACAAATAACGCTACTTTCGACTATTTCTCCTCCGTGAAATCAGCCTACACTAAGCAGCCGAACTTCCAAAATTCAACATTCTATGCACTGAAATATTAAAAGATTATAATTTTGTTAATACAAACAATCGTTCCAATATTACATTATATGCGACTACTATGATACACCAGTTAATTTCGGGTCATTTTCATCTAATGTCTCTCTTCAACTATTGATTACGAGATCATTGTGTAAATCGACATTTGAAAGACTAGACATCTAACAAGATGGTTCACTTACTTACTTACTTATGCTTATTACTCCTCGTGAAGGAGCATAGGCCGCTCACCAGCATTCTTCATCCAACCCTGTGTTGGCCAATCCTTTCCAGCTCTTTACAGTCGTTATTCATCCTTTTCATATCTGTTTCTATTTCCCGACGTAATGTGTTCTTTGACCTTCCGCTTTTCCGCTTCCCTTCAGAATCCCAAGTTAGAGCTTGCCTTGTGATGCAGTTTGACGATTTGCGTAATGTATGTCCTATCCATTTCCATCGTCTTTTCCTAATTTCTTCTTCAACTAGAAGCTGGTTTGTTCTCTCTCACAGAAGGCTGTTGCTGATGGTATCCGGCCAATGGATGTTGAGTATCTTGCGTAGACAGCTATTTATAAATACTTGCACCTTCTTGATGGTGGTGGTTGTAGTTCTCCAGGTTTCAACTCCATACAGTAGAACTATTTTGACGTTTTTATTGAAGATTGTGACTTTGATATTGGTTGAAAGTTGTTTTGAGTTCCATATGTTCTTCAACTGTAGGAATGCTGTCCTTGCTTTGCCAATCCTTGCCTTTACGTCTGCATCTGAACCTCCTTGTTCATCGATAATGCTTCGCAGGTATGTGAAGGATTCTACCTCTTCCAGAGTTTTGCCATCAACAAGATGGTTCAGTTTAACAACTAATCACTTCAAAAAGTCATATCATTTCTTTATTTGATTCTTTTTAGCTTTTTAATACAACTTAAACCATTTTGTTATTCAACACTATAAATAGTAGTATGCAATTAGAGTAAGACATACACGATACACTCTCTTGTATAGATGTAAATATATGTTAGTGATTTGACTGATATACCATCATAAACAAATGATTTATATAATGAGAAAGAAACAGAGAGAGAATTTATTCAGATTTCAATAAATTTCTTTGAATATAAAGGAAACAAGATCAAATATTCCGTTTGATAGATCACGTCATTTTGAAGAAGAAAACAACAACAACAACAACAAATGATCTTTTCTTTGATACATGTGACAATCAGCTTTTGTTTATTTGGATAAAGTCAAGATTATAATATAATGAGAGAAAGAAGGGTCAAAGAAAAAGAAATAAGAAAATGTATATATTTAATGAATGAACTATTATTCTACATAGCTGTCTGTTGTTGTATTTGTGAAAGTAAAAAAACAACTAAAGATAGAGAATATGGATTGAGAAGAAAGAGAGGATTTATGGGACGACCACGATCAAGTAGTGTGAACCTACTGTCCAATAGTCAATGAATTCATGTATTGATGTTATACCTTAATTTATTCACTCTTAGCTTTATTCTAATCTAATTCTACACCATTATTGTAATCAATGGTTAGAGCAGATACATTCACTTTCTGTCTTCTCTTAGATCTTGATTTGAAAAATTATGTTAAGCTTTTTTATCCAGTCAATTTATTCTTTCTTCTTGGATCATATTGCCTATGCCTAATATTTTCTACTATTCCTGATATTACTATTACATCCACTAATGTGACAACTTGAGCCAACGCATATATGCGTCAGGTTTTATGTTACATATGACTGAATGATTCCTACACCAGTCAACATCGAGGATTGAGGTAGGTAGCGGTTGAATTACATAATCTATATCCCAACCACTTCAATCAATAAAGATTCATTACTTCATTAACCGACTAGTTATTTTTGCTAAGAACACTGAGTCTAGTTTCAGCATCAGTCATTGAATAGTCCTGACATACGAGAGCAATACTATGAAGACATATATGATCAAATACTAGCAACCTACAAGTGAGTAAACAATTATCATGTAAACAAAAGAGACTGTACAGATTGTTTAGTTTGTAGTAATTTTCATCATCAGGAGCTGATATATTAATTAGAAAATTACTAAAAACTATGAAACATTGAACAATTGTTTTATTCTTACTTAAGGATATATTAATTTACTAGGTACGAAAACGTGAATTGCTAAGATCTTTTTTTTAAAGGTTAAGTTAATGTAACTAAGTAATGGATTATGGAGTTTGTGTAATTGCCTTGAAACAAGAAATGTTACGTACAACGTTTGATGATAGTTTGAGTTGAATTTAAATGGAAAGAGAGGAATAGATGTAAACTTGTGATCCAGTTAGCCACTTTACATTGTAGTTTTACATCATAAATTGATTTTGAGCGAGACAACTATTGAAATTCATTGATTGAGATCAAGAACTGATGGATGTTAGACCACCACTGAAAATCTGGAAGCACTAGACGGCCGTTTCGTCATATTGTGGGACTCCTCAGCAGTGCCCACCCACAGTCCCACTGGCAAGATTCGAACCCAGGGCCTTCAGTCTGGCGCGCGAACGCCTAACCTACTGGACCACTGAGCCGGCATCCAATAGTGTTAATGTCTAACCTCAACCAATCCACGAAATTGCGCAACTATCTTCCATTATAGTGAGTTAGACACCTGTTTCTACCCGACATGGATTAGCTCCCCTAGTCACAGTTTCTCACCAGAACTCCGAGAATTCCCTCACGAATGTAGTCACTAGTGAGCACATGGTTGTTATCAGCATAGTGTTGTGGAAATTATTATGTTATTGATTGAGATCAAGAACCGATTGATGTTAAACTACCAGTAAAAACCTGGAAGCACTGGACGGCCGTTTCGTCCTATTGTGGGACTCCTCAGTAGTGCGTATCCACGGCCCCACTCGCGGGATTTGAACCCATGAAGTACTAGGCAGTTGTTTCATTCTAGTATAGGATTCTTCGATGATTATCATAATAAATACAGTCCATAATGTAAAACTACTTACGAATTCAATAATCTTTACAATCCCCTCTTTAAACGATGGTTATTGTTTAATTCAGTTGGTAATGTTTTACTTGAATCTTCCCATTGATGTTTTAAGACTGAAATTGATCAGTCTCTTATTAGCATATGTGCATACTTTGCGTATACCTCGATAATGCCTTAATTTACAAGCATTATAAGCGAAGATGGATAGTGGCTAGCAGTGGAAGCGAACGGTACTGAGTTCGAATCCCAGAGTGAACATCAACTCTGAGATGCAGGTACATCCAGCTGACGAGTCTCAAACAGGACGAAACGCGCGTCCTAGATTCCACTGCTAGCCACTATCCATCTTTGCTTATGATGGTTATTGTTGTTGTAAAATTTTTTATGATTTTTCTAACGAAAAAAATGTACTTTATAGATACTTTTTTTGACACTACAGTTTAAAGTACAAAGGAACATTTTAACAACAACAACACCAACAAAAAAAACACGCAAACTGTTTTTAAAAAAATGCACATATTACAATTGAATTACCTGGCTGAATTCAATTTCCAATCATTTAAAAATGAATAGTCTGTATTCGTTTGTGATATTGGTGATGATGACGATGGTACACCGTATGACCATGCATTATCAATTTGTTTAAATTGATATATTAATTGACGATAAATTATGTTAATACGTTTGATTTGTTCAATTCCATGAGATAATTGATCAATTTTTGTTAATACAATGATCATTGGTAAATTTAATGAACGTATTAATTGTATATGATCTAATCCTATACTACTTAAACCAATTGTAGCAGATATTACTAAAATGCCCATTATTGGTTGATTACAAGAAATACCAGCTAATGTTGTACGTTGATATTTTGAATGTCCAGCTAAATCAAGTAAAGTTAGTAAATTGGATGACATTCGAACAACCTTAAAAAAAAGAAAACAAAAAAGAAAAGAGATGAAAAGTTTGTGTTTTGTTTACTTGAATGAGAAATAATTGACAGTTTCAATATTTAAAATATCTAGGCCAACTCAAACTATGTAGCCTCCTCTCCTCTTTTTATCATCGCAAGTAGCATTCAAAGTTATCTACCACCAAGGATTTGATAGTGTAGTGGTTATTATGTTTACTTTACCCGAAGAATGTTCACGAGTCGAACCAAGATTTCGACAGTAATAGGTCAGTGTTCGTAATGTTTGGGATTTAGCCGCTAAGGCTCGAACTCCGTCCCACTTACCTCAGTTTAGATAGCCAAGTAGTTTCAATGGTTTTCACGCTTAAAGTGTGGCTCGAAGCTTATTACACAAAGCTATAACTGGTAAACGAATTGACGAGAAATAAAGTTGGACAGAGTTATGTTATACAGATGTCCAAGTTTGATGCTGATTTACATGCTTATTATATGGGTATCCAAACCAGCAACTTGAGTGAAGAAACAAGAGTGAGCGAGTGTTTATCGGCCGACTGAATCGAGAGTGTGTGAACAACTCAATTGAAAACGTAACTACATATCCCTCATAAAATAATGACATATTTTCAATCAATAGCACATGTCTATTCCCTCAGAAAATGAAGCCAAATCTTGACCAATACCGTGCCTCCCAGCGTCTTTCACTTATCATTTGCTCTATGTTTGATTGTCCCGGCGCATCAAATACTCTAGATACAAAAATCTAACTTCATACAATAACGCTAATAAAACCAAAATTGATCATAATTATACAAAGGGAAAAGCAAGATTCTCCGATACAACACAGAATGCACCAATCCAATCACAATTGACGGAGAAGATTTGGAAGATGTAAAAACCTTCACATATCTGAGTGGCACCATTGTTGAACACGGTGGATCTGATGCAGATGTGAAGGCTCGAATCGGCAAGGCAAGAGCAGCACATACACAACTGAAGAACACCTGGAACTCAAAACAACTTTCAACCAACAACAAACTCAGAATATTGAATACAAATGTCAAAACACTTCTACTGTATGGGACAGAAACCTGGAAAACTACGAAAGCCATCATCCAGAAATCACAAGTGTTTATTAACAGTTGTTTACGCAAAATACATCAGATCTGTTCGCCAGATACTATCATCAACAACCTACTGTGGGAGAGAACAAACCAGATTCCGGCGTAGGAAGAAATCAGGAATGAGCTCTGGAATTCGATAGGACACACATTGAGGAAAGCACAAGGTACGCCCTCACTTGGAATCCTCAAGGCCAAAGGAGGAGAGGAATATCAAAGAACACATTACGCCAAGAAATGAAGACAGACATGAGAAGAATGAAGAACAATTGGATAGAACTAAAGACGAAGGCTGAGGACATAGTGGGTTGAAGAATGCTAATCTATGGCCTATTATTTGTAGCTGGATATCTATGACAAGATAAAAACAGAAATAGTAAGAATAGACAGCCATAAATGAACAAAACTAAACTTAAACAACAAGTTGCAATGAACTGAGCCTGATATCTCAACAAACTCCATTTACAAAGTGACATTTGAGTAGTATATATTTATGGAAGGTTTATTTGCACAAAATTTTCACAATGTTTACATCGGTTAACTTTGAGAAAACTAATTAAAATTGAACGAAATAACTGATGAAATTATTTCTAAGTGTTGCATAGTTTTCTCTATGAAATTCCAAATAATCATGTGGTTAGAGACTAATCAAAAAGTATATCGTGGGTGTGTATTCTGATTAGTTGATAGGATAAATCAACCAATCAACAACAACAACAAAAAAAAAGAAACAATGATGAAATTAGAAAATATTTTGATGTTTAATTACATTATTACAACTATTAATAATCAACTTACTTCTTCGGTTGAACGTCGATAAACTCTACCATCAGCATATTTATAATTAGTAACATTACCATTTGCATCAAAACCTAATAATTCACGACTTAAACTACTTGTACGACCAGATTGTACTTCATGTAAATGACGAAATAGATTTAAACGTGCTTTACCACGAGCATTATCCAATTCACCATCAGTTAATACACTAATTAAAGTTGATTTGCCTGAATCCATTCCACCAACTAAAGCTACACATAAATCTGGTGACTAAATAATTTAAATAATAATAATGAAAACATAAGAAACACAACAATGAGAATCACAACATAATTAGTAAGATTAATGTTAATAAACGAAATCATTTATGATAACCATTCTGAAAATATGTTTACATTTTGTTTTTGTTAGCAGAGAATGACTAGTTGGAAAGATGTTTTTTTCTCTCAACTATTTCATCCTAAAAACTATACAAAACGACTGTATCTGCTACTTTGGCATGGTGGTCTGGCCCGAACATTACGATGATTCAGCTGAGTTCCAGTGAAAGAGATACTTGTTCCATTTAGGTATTGCTGTACTGAGTAGGTCTGTTGCGGAGATGTAAGACTAAAAGCAGTAAACTTAAGGTTCGAAGGTACAGTCGTACTTTCACTTGCACGTGAATGTAAAGGGAGTAAGAGGTTCCCCTCAGAATACCACTATTTTCAAAGATATTACCTCCTCAAAATGGAAAAGTCGACCGTGAATGTAGCTTAGCTTTGCCCCATGGATTTCCTTCGCCAGACGTAAGGTCTTGAAAGTAAGGAGTTAAAAACATGGCCATATGTAACCGGTCTAAAGTATTTGTTCTTTGGGGTCTATGTTAGAACTCCCATTTGGTCAAAAATACCCTCAATACAGTTTTATTTTCAGGTATCTCACAAAGAAGTATCTTTTTATGGTGTGCACAACCGGGAAATGACAACCACTGATACACCTCTATCAGGACTGAAAATCACGTTGTTCATAATCGTATTTCCATTTTAATTCCTTTTACCAACCCTTCTCCCATCGCTTTATCTTTTTTCCTCACATACTATGGATTCCAGTTCACGAAGTGCGATTCCAAGTCTTCTGAAATTGCGCTCCAAACTACTTGTTGGAGCTTTCAATATTCGAACCTTATATCAAACTGAACAACAAACTTAATAATCTAGCATTCTAAAATCTTGTATGATTGTTGCATTTTATTTTCAAAAATGTCAATCTATAGTATGTTCTATTAATAGCTGTTCCAACTGAATATGACATAGTTATACAGCTATATATAACTTGTCTATCATGGTTATTGTACGTTGAAAAATAAAACTTTAATAGGCTTTTCTATCCGTGTCAAGATTTTGATAGAGCCAAACAGTAAACCAGCGACATCATATGCTGAAACAAAAGTCGATCAATTCAATAAGGCAAGCAGTAATTGTAGTTTCTAAAGATGATATGAGGGTGTGATGAAGGATGTTTGAACAAGGCGGTTATTCTTATTAAAACAAAGTAAACATTGAGTAAATTTATATTAATGCCGTTAACTTAAAGAGATATACTGCTACTTAAAGTGACCAATCTAAAATTCCAACTGTAATGTATACGATCTAAGGCATATAAATGTAATCAGTCATATGTAACATAGAACCCGAGGGATTCAAGTTGCCACATTACATCAGTACAGTGAAATTCCAGGATAAAATAAGTAGTAACATTATAAGTAGAAGTAGAAAAGATTGGGGATAGAATATATGATTCGAGAAGAGAATACAGATCTGCGGTATGAAAAAACTTAAAGATAATTAAGAAGCTTGAAAGCTAATAGAAGACAAAGAGTAAATGCACCTGTGCCGTAGAGAATAATTCAGAGCTATGTTACTTAGTCTCTAACTATTTGGTTAAGAGAACTGCCGAGTCGATTTAGTGTAAGCGCTTAAACGATAAACTACAGATGTCATTTTCTAAGGTTTGTATAACCAGATATAGTTATTACTTCTTAAGGTATGAGTATCATTTATAAATTAATTGACTTTACAATTCGTGGAATCAATATTTCGAGAAGTTACTTTCAGTGTAAAAAGCGTTCTATCAAGGTGGTCAACACATGAATATTAATAAAGAACAAGAAACGCAGAACCAATCAAATTGATTGTATTCATTATTTTTCAAATACTCCACATTTGCTCACTGAAAACACAATATACATAAAGTGTGGTGAAGAATAAGATAAAGACTATAAGGATAATTATTAAATGACAAGAACCACACATCACCCGTCAAGGTAGATGGTGAATGGACATTCGTAACACATGTTCCAACCACCTCAGTTGAAGATTTATTACCTCATCACTCGATTTACCATCTTTGCTTAGTACTCTATCTCTAACTTCGACATTGCTTACTCCAGTCCCGAAATACACGAGCGATGTTTTGTAGACACATATAATGGAATACCAGTAACCTAAGAATATTATCTACTCTTAATGGTCATGTTTCACATCCATGAAGTAGAACGGAGCAAACTATTACGCAATAAACTCGCCCTTTGGTTAGAAAAGGTATATCCCGCCTACAACACAAGTGACGTAAATTGGCAAAAGCCAATCAGGTCTTCTGAATCTGCGCCGAGACTTCGTCAGACACCAGACTATCAGGACTAATGAGAATTTCAAGATAAGTAGATGCTGGTTGTCTGGGAGAAACACCTTACTACTGTCAAACTCCTGTACAGTCAGCAGTATAGCCTCATCCTCGGACCTTAAGTTACTGCTTAACGTCTCGTCGTCCGCCAACTGCCCTACCTGACATGGTAGGACGTAAAGAAACATGTGTTCCAGCCAATATAGCTCGTTTGAATCGTCACGATAGACAAGCCCGATCACCACGTCAAAATAGCAACCAGCAAATGTACACACGTTATGAAGATGTACAGTTCACGTACTGCCGAATAATAAATACTTTATACATAACTAGGAGTAATAGTAAAAAAAAACATTGACGTTCTTATGGAAAGATAATAGTAATAACAATAATCATAGAATAATAATAATAATAGCGATGTCTTTGGCAACGCAGAGAAGAAAAAAGTATCACACATTGATATCTGTGTATCGAGGGGATTTGTTTATACTACTGGATTCAATAAATCAAGGCAATAATTACATAGATGAGTGAAAGTTTTATTAGAAATCACGAGTTTTCTTATTTATATGCCATTTATAAATAATAATAATAATTGTGTATCATACGTAACACACGAATTCTACTAGAGATGTTACTGTTATTTCAATGTTGTGTAGAAAAAAATGTGTTCATTTAATGTGAATCACCGAAGTTTCTTTCTTTCAAGGTGTTATATGCAATAACTAACTGATTAGTGATTATAAAGTACCTTATTTACAGGTTGATAATCATTTAAGAATAAAATAACTTTAATTATCATTTATCAATTTATAAAGTGAAGATCTTTCAATTAGAGTATTTGAATTTTGGGCAAGAATGAATGTAAATTCGAACATCGTTACAGATACTCTTGTTTGGGTGATCGTGTATTACTCTATCAGGATTGATTTAAGTCAATATTGTTACGCAATCGGTAATCATCCAGATGTTGATAGTAATATAACCTGCCCCAAAATGCCCTGGTATAGCCGAGGGTGGGAAGAGTTGGCTCTCTCTCTCTCTCTCTCAAAATGTTCTCGCATGTCCACGCGTATATAGCCTCTGCCAGGGAAGTCCTATTCACCGCCTTCTCGTAGCGGTGTTGTTCACGAAATTGAGAGGACGCAGAGCGAATGTCCGGCGCTTTAACCGGGTTGGTGTACATGGAGAGTCCACCTAGGGGAGTTGGAAAACCCCGATTCCAAACAAATGGTGTACATGGGCTCCAGTATCCTGAAGGAACAAATGGCGCATGAATCAATCGTTGGTCACCGGCTACCATGGGACTGAATCTCCTTACGATGCTCCACTGTCTTGTGGATCAGACCTTTAGGTCGAAGGCTCAGAGTGTGACTTCCTAAGAAAACTACCTGCTTCAGTTTGAGCATCCAGGCAGCATCACAGCCCTCACACAAATCAAATGAGATTTGTGTGGCGCATATGTATCTGGTGCCCCGTTGTACAAATATTTGTGTTCACATAAATAAATAAATAAAATAGTAATATAACCTATGCAATGTACCAATATCGTTTGATTCATATTTATTAATATTATTATGGGGCGTAAAAACGACACATAATGTAAATAACGCATTAGTGTTTGAAGAAATGTGTACTGGGTTCGAGTCGGTGTGAATATCAGAACCGACAATATAATTAAATATTACTAACAAGTCCCAAAATAGGACATAACATGTGTCTCGGATTTCACCGCTAGTCACAATCTATATGATTTAAAATTTTTCACAAAATAACTATATAGCGGCAATCATCTCAGGATGGTCATATACCAGAGACTGATCAGAATTCAGTTCTGAATATGAACACCCGGACAATACAAAAATTCATTGATAATATAAAATAATATATACTGTGATGCCTATTAATTTCACTATTATCTTGAGAAATAAAAGCGCTCTTGGAAGTCTTGTCATCTCATGGTTGGGTGTTTTGATGTGCTGGTCAAGTGAATCGGGAACCAGTGAACTATCGAATGAGTCAATTATCTTATTCGAGTGAGTTGACTCGGTAATACAATTATCGGTATAGTTGAATTCCAAACATAATCACATAAAAATGAATGTGACTCAAATCCTAGTACTTTATAAATGGGTTACGTAAAACTCCATTGAATCCATCAATTTGCAACAAAGGTAGTTAATGAGTTTAAACCGCAAATGATGAATCGATTTTTCACTCATTAAAATAATTTGGCCGTTTAAAGATTATTAGAATTGAGGGAATTTACGGAGATTTTGAACTGGTGCCATTTCCGGAGTTCTAGTGATAAGTCGTGACCAGTGCAGTTTAACCATATCGAGTGTGGGACGGTTATCTCCCGCAGGTAATTAATGAAGGTTAAGCAATAATAATTTTTCCGATCATACAGTTTATTTTTATGAATTGAAAGTCAGTTAAATTTAATTTACAAATGATCTAATTATTCAGTCTGTGTCAGCTTAATATCAGTCGCTCAAGGATTTGTGCCTGTAGTCAGTCAGCCAGCAACAACGTAGAACTTCGTACGTACGTACATCAGTTCAAGTTGTCATGCCACATTGGCACACAGATACAATTGTCGATTTAGGGGGTAGTAAAAGTACAGGTAGTAATTGGAACATACAACCAACATCATACAACAAAAAAGTATTCGTATACATCACGAATACTCATCATGATTAAGAGAAATTGATATGATACAGGAGATAGGGATTGGTAAGATACAGATAACATGAAAATTAACACTTTCTTCATGTACCTGAAAAATAGTAGTATTACTTAGTATGAGTCTGATGGTCAAGTCAATAATTAATTGAGGCTGGTTGTATCTTCTTAATAGTTAGATTTGTACTGAAGAACACATTGCTGATACTACCGAGACATCATAATGTTACGACAATCAGAAGAAAAAATGGCGAGACTATAATTTTTGGACGAATCATTCAGATTTAATATAAAAGGTCTCGGATTTTGGCACAAAATTCATACTTATTTGGCTAAATACTATTTTGGCGTTATAGCTGATCTCAGTTCTTGATGAAAACCCTAAATCTAATTCCTAACCCTAACCATCAACTGTAAATCATAATTACAATTCCTCACACTGCTTTATAACCCTCATTTAGTCCTAGTTAGTGAGTGGACATTTCCAAGGTTATTTTAGCGTTGCTTAAAGGTTTTCCATAAATTATAGCCCCACCGAAAAAATCAGTAAGGAAATAGACTGGTTAGGGAAAACACATTATGTCCATTACATCAACATTAGCCGTTAGTTAAACATCTTTCAGAAACCAGTCAGTCAACACACAACGTAGAATCTAGCATATACGTGCATAAGTTCAAGTTGGCACACCGTATCAACACGAGATGAAAATATCAAAATAAATACGGTATTAGTAGTAATATCAATAATGGTTAAAAAACATTAGGTAGACAAAAAGATGCATCACGATGAATAAAGAAAATTCATAGAATATAAGATTTAAAATACTTTCTAAGTTCAGGAAAGACAAAGAATGAATGGATCTGAATTGAAGTTAGTGATATTCTCTAATCAATAAATCTTTCGATAATAATATAATCTTAGGGAATAAAGACTTTAGATAGAATGGATTAAAGTAACAGGTAAGTTAAATCACGTTGCGATCATGGCCGGTTGTCATTTGACTGTTTATTATTATTATTACAGAAACAATTACCAAGATCTAAAATAATAATTTCTAACACAAATAGAGAAAGAATAATCATTCTACTATTCCCCTAATATTTTCATAAATTAATTTATATGTTAATCATTATCAATTGGATTAGTAGTTTTATCAGCTGTTACACCATATCACACAAATCATATGTTTAATGATTATTATTGTTATTAATATTTAAATAATAGGGAAGTAAACGATATTCACTAGTTACATAAGCAAATTTACAGAAACATTTAGTGTGATAATCATACACAATAATGCAATCTCTTTACCAAATAACAAGTCTATGTACTTGATTTTGTGGCAGACCGTAAAAAAAGTCCCCTCCTAGCAGAGTGAACTAACGTACAAGGAATAGGATTTGAACCTGAGACCTGTTGATTAAAAGTTAATTGCTTTAACTACCACGCCAGATAAGAATAATGAAGAATTTGAGGTGTAAAACGGCAGATAGTTTAAACTAGTTCAAATTGCCGTAGATGAGGAAGAGGATCAAAGATGTTGGTTTGTGTTATTTCTTTCAACCAGGCAGTTTATTTATCACCTACTAGAACGTGTACTGTTGGTTAGGATAAAGCTAGAGACAAGCAAACTAAGGCATGGAATTATTACATGAAACTACAGACCGTTGAGCTGAACCATATTGGAAGATGGGGACCGTAAGGTAACTATAATTTATGGTTGATAAAGGGAGGGTAGATTACAGAGTAGCAGCTGCATTCACCACTAATTCTTCTATAAATCTTAAGCTTGAAATCATCCCATAATTTCCATTCCTGCTTATTCCTTTTGAACTAGAGTTGACGTATGTCATTTTCTATTTCAATCAATATTTTCTCGGTTGTTTACCTTGATAATTTTGTCCTGATGCTGTTACGAAGTGTGGTAGCTTGGACGTGGAACTATAGACGCCTTTTATTGAACTTACTAAGAAGAACAGTCTCTTAGTTCTCATTTTAAAGAAATAAGCTATGATAGGTTTGTAAAAATGAGTATTACCCCAAATAGGCAATCTAGAAATTGATGTATTGAGCAAAAAGAGGACAGTAAATATAATTACATCAACAGTAACAGAGGGATAACAGTGGAAATAAAATATGAGACTGATAAAAAAACACCATAAATAGTGGAAAAATAAAATGTTTGAGAGTGCAGGCGCTGTCTAATACTCTGATTTGCTTCAGTTGATATCAATTTGTGGCGATAATTATTTTCAGATTAGAGTTAGTATAGATTTATTAGACTTTGCAAAAAAATAATAACAGATGGCCTGGTAGCTACAGCGCTCTATTTTTGACCATTAGTCAAAGGTTTGAATACTGTCCTACCTACTTTGGTTTAGGCAACCAGTTAGGATTATATTAGCTCACACACCTAGTGTAGTCCAAAGCCGAGTACACGGATATGTACTCGGTGAGTTACATTACAGGAAAAAAATTGATACAATAGTACTGAATATAACATTCGACTTACACCTTCATTGGTTGTTGGCGCTAGACGAACAAGCACTTCAATAGCTTTACGACATTCTTTATCCGAAGAAATAGTTGTCGGTTCAATAACACGCTCTCTGAGAGGATGAAGAGTGGAGTTTAGACGCTTTGCCATTCGTTCAAGTGTTGTTAACGAACTGATTAATTCAGATGGATGAAGTCCACTGACATGACCATCGTCATCTACACCTAATTTATAAATGGCTTTGCCTCCACCTTCATTAAGACGCCATTTCATTTGAGTAACAAGCTGTTCAAAACGATTTGGTGTAGGATCAACTAATTTCCGCTACATAAAAAAGGAATCGGTTAAAATTGGTGTAAGAAAAAGTTAGCGAAAACAGAGATAGAAGGGTGCAAAAAAGCATTTATGATTTAAATAACTGACTAAAAATGACTTTCACTTAATTGCAGATTAGTGGAGTCGTACCTTATTAGCATAAACACGACTATCAAACATTTAGTTTTTTATACTTCTTTTAGCCTCCTGGAATAGAACTGTTTGTCATTTATAGCTACTACAGTGAGTAGTTTTAATTTAGATAGGGTAGGTCAGATCGACAGAGGTTTTGGTGCCCCAGCTTAACGGACAGGTAACGATGACTGACTGCAGCAAATATGTACATACAAAAATTTATTTCGAGAAAACGTTTACTTTAAGCATATATAGTGACATGTCACATTGACCTAATGATGAACAGAGGTAAGCTTTTTTAGCCATTAATTGATTCCAGTGAATAAGGATGAGTGAAAAAATACAGAACCTCGTTAAACCCGCATATTTTCTTTACAATGATCTCGCAGGTGGTGACAGGAGATACGTCGAATACAAAAGTATTTTCGAGACGAATACTTTAGAAATTTTCTTATGCAGAGAGACCATAAAAGATGCAGTGGTGGTCTTATGGTTAGGCGGTTCAACTTGAAGCCAGTAAATCCGAGATTCGAACACCGCTCCAACTACCTCGATTCAGGTAACTAAGTAGTATCGTTAACCCTGACACATGGAATGTCGTTCACACTCAAGTACCTGGTGAATGAGTTAATTTATGATTAATATTTTACTCGCAATGTCTAAGAGTCATATGCCCCAAATGCCCTGGTATGGCTGAGAGTGGGGTGGGCCCTCCCTCTCGAAATGCTCTCACACGGCCACGCGTATACAGCCTCTGCCGGGGAAGCCATACTCACTAACTTCTCGTGGCAGGGGTGTTGTTTACGAAAATGAGAGGACGAAAAGCGAATGTCCGGCGCTTTAACCGGATCCCAAACCAATGGTGCACATGGGCTTCAGTATCCTGAGGGAACAAATGGCGTATAAACCAATTGTTGGTCACCGGCTACCATGGGACTGCATCTCCTTACGATGCTCCACTGCCCTGTGGATCAGACCTTTAGGTCAAAGGCTCGGGGTGTGGCCCCCTAGGAAAAACACCTGCTTCGGTCTGGGCACCCGGGCAGTATCACAGCCCACACACACAAATATGGTGTGGCGCATACATATTTGGTGCCCTCTTGTACCAATATTTATGTGTTTAAATAAATAATAATAAAATACAGACACAGATTTACATGGTCACAAAGTACTTGATCAGATTATGATATTTAATGGCTAGACAAAAATAGATCAGTAGAGATGTGATAAATGCTAAAAACCCACTATTAGTCATCACTCAAACAGATCAGTGGTTAGCTCTCACCTCATAAGGACACGTCTATCCGTCTTACTGGACATACGGAAATCGCAATAGAAATACTTCGCGTGCAGGTTGAAGACAGAAATGTCAAGTATGTATCTGAGGAAGGACTAGTCAAGGACTCAGTCGACCAATGTGGTCAAATGACGTGAAATAACTATTAATTCATTGTGTAAACAAATAATATTTGCTAGGAGCCTCAAACGAAATGCTTGGAAAGTCAGTCTATTCCCATTGTTTTCATTCCACACTTACAGACATCAGTGATTTACAGCTAGTAGACGCGGAACTTGTCAAGCCAAAGCTTATTCAGTCAAGTTATACTGATGAATCAATAAAGACTGAGAGAAGTTAGGGTGAAAATATCAAAATCGGATTGAAAATTAGTGCCAGGAGTTGGGATTGTGTGGTAGGGTTTGGGTTTTGTAGTCATGAACTAACATTGCTTACAATTCAGAAATCCTAAAAACATCCGAATACTGACCCATGACATAACAAGGCATCCAATTATCACTCCCTTTTCTTTGGCCAAAACAGTTAACACCTGCAAATTTTTCGACACTATAGTTCAGGCTTATCACTTATACAATACTGTCTACAACCACTTGGTGGGCTAATGGTATCATATACACGGGAACAGTTAATCATATGCCGCTTCCTCACATACTGAATGTATTGACAGGACAACAAATAAAAATAGGTTGCTTACTTTGTACTCAATATTTCCCTCTTCTATTTCGGGAGGAAGAATATGTGGCATTTTTGTAGAGATATTTCCACAGCTGTAGCTACCACATATGGGATTATTGGGAGTAGAGTTTAGACTAAGGAACGGGTTGTGAGCATTATCTGAGCTATTATCTATAGTTTTATTCTTCTTGATACAACCTCTGAAGCTTTTGCGTTGTTGTGCGTCATTACGGAAATTAGTTGGCCTTGTGAATGATTTTGCTGACTTTTCATTCAACTTGGACTTCGATGTTTCATTACCGGCTGAAAAATACATAGAAAGCTCATCCATCCCGGCATGTAAAAGATGAAGCAGAAGCTATTATCAAAGATAAAATTTATGCCCTTCCGACATCCGCTTCAAGGCCAAACCGGGGTCATTCAACTTAACCGCTTTCAATGTCCATTATTTTGGTTTTGAGCTTCGAATTAGATAGAGGGAAACTGGTAGGTAATTGTTTTTCAAGGTTCGTTTACAAACTGCAAGCGTCAAAGCATAAATTGTATTGATAGCATAATAAGTTTGCAAGTAATAGTTACGCCGATGCGCTTGGACTGGGTACTTACAAACGAAGAATTCCTGGTTGGCAGCCTCTCAATCCTCTCTCTCCTAGAGGAAAGCGATCACGCTGCCACAGCCTTCAGTTTTATCAGAGAAACTGAGCTAAGACAATACACCAACAACAGGCGCTGGAATTTCGAACAGTTGGATGTGTCAGCTTAACGGAATAATCTACAGCAGGTGAATCGGGAAGTTCACCCTCAACTTGATCTGAACGCTTATTGAGATTTTTTACTGCACACGATTTTGTGCGCTAGGAGGCATTCTGTTCTTCAGATGATACCCAAAATCTACAAGCAACCTACAGTCACCAAGATCTGCACTCTTCGTTTGCTAAGCCGGAGAAGGCACTACTAGGCGGAATACAAACGAACTGACACATACAGGCAATACAAACAAATAAGGAACATATGCAAAAAGGCAATAGGAGAAGGCTTCAGTACCGAATGAAGCTTATCGATAAATTTGTTTCCAATCTAAGAGGCTTATTCCGTTATGAAGCCTCTCTTCGACAAGCCAAAACTGGAGTTTCGCAACTGCTAAGTCCTGAAGGCCCAACCAACAGTGAAGGTGATGCCGCTAATCCCCTGGCTGGACAGTACTCCCGGACATTCGAACCGACCCTCACTAACTCTATTGGTGAAAGTTTCATCTGAAACTCCACAGGATTTAGTGTACCGGAAACTGCAGCACCTAAAAACGACACCTGATCCGGATGTGATCCTTTCTGTTATACTGAAGGAGGCAGCTTCAGAATCAGCAACACCGCTTAGCGTGATGTTCTTACATTCGCTAGGCCGAGGCACGTTACTAGAAAACTGGAAGCCAGGTCACATTGCACTTATTTTCAAAGGAGGTCGACGCAGCGAACCTTCAAGCTACATGTCGGCAGCACTGCTCTCAATATCCTCAAAAATTACGGAGTCACTGATGTGCGACGTTCTACGTGACTACTTACTACCTGTAAACTTCTTTTCACTCCAACAGCACGGTTTCAGAAAAGGTCACTGTTATATAATCAACCTACTGACCACGCTGGACAGATGGACAGTCATCCTTGATAACAAGGGGAAGGTTGATGTCAAATACCTCAACTTCTCAAAGGCTTTTAGTAGGGTCAAACATATATGTCTTATAAGTAAGCTCAAACGATTAGGTATCTAATCACCTTTAATTGACTAGCTCACTTCATATCTAAAAAAAAGACTTTTTAAGGTCAGGGTTAAATTCGCTTACTCTCAGGCTGCGGAATGTCCTAGTGAGGTCCCTCAGGGTTCAGTACTAAAGCCTCTCATTTCCTTGATTCGTATTAATGATCTTCCACAACAGGCTGAGCTAGTCCAAGGGACTTCCCACGATTCCTTCAAGAGGAAACTTGACCTATTCTCAAGAACTAAGGATAGTAACGTAGTATGAATTACCAATTTCTTTTTCCTCTTTTATCGATAATATACCTAGCTTCCTGATTGGAGGTATCAGTGATCCACTACTACTAGACACGAAGGCCCGTTAAGTGAGAGCTTCCTATATTCTGTTCAAAATTATTCGAACTATTTGAGCCATCTGAATGAGTTGTTTGATCCCATAAAGCTTCAAAATCTACGAACACAAAAGTAACACGGTGTGGCGGTAAATAAATCACAAAAATGAATAGTTCTGCAAGTCTTCGACTTTGAATCGGACTTCACCAGTTTTTCTGGACATACTCTAGGCAAACGCATCAGGTCGACTGTACGCGCCAGATCACGACTGGGTATGTTGTGTTACATTTTAGTGGCCCGGGATCTGACTCCAGTTTGGTCGTATGAGTGATTGGTATTGAAATATGTATGTCGCATATCCTCGTGTATAATCATCGGCTTAAATCGCGTTGGTCAATAACGGACTTAAATAAGTGGGATGGACTTTTGAATACACATATTTTGCATATCAAGCAAATGGAATTGAGCGGAGCAAAATGACGCACAGTGGAGATGGAGGATAACCCAACTCCGCTTTAGTCAAGCGGTAATCAATATTTATAATCACAATAAACTAAGTTACAGATATGTGATGAAAAGAATAAAAAGCGCACACATATAACGTACTCATATAAAAACAGTTGAGGTTGATAAGCGAATAATTAATAAGGTCAAAATATAATTCAAGACGAATGAAAAGATTGGCCTATCTGTAAGTTCGAATAAGGTATACGGGATTAGCATAATAACTGACATTACAACACATTGCTCGTAACGACGAGCCAACCTAGAGCACTTACCTGTAGAAACATTGGTTGCCGCACAAATATATCTTCGGACCCAATCATTCCAATTTTCTGGTTCAATATGCGTTTGAATCCTCTTTCCTAAGGGTGTTAAGGGCAGCAGGGTTGTCACAGACTGATTACTAGCAACATCTTTAAAGGATTTTGCAATAAATCATTGTGTTCGCTTAAGCTTAAAGATGCCACAGGTATTCGGAGTTTGACAGCGCCTTCAAATGCAACATCTTTGTAAACAAAGTATGCAAACCCAGTTAAATCAGAAGTCAGAAATGAAGAGGTTTGAAAATGTATTTGGAAAGCTATTGATATGTCGAGAAGCGTTTGGTCTAGACTGGCTGCTATGTGATATGCCTGAACTAAACAAACTGAAGGATTCGGTGTGGATTGTATTAAAGCCGTCGAATTCCGTTACCTTACTGCTCGGCTGTGTTTATCGTCAACCTAACGCATCAATAGATGAAATAGCAGTATTATCGGAGGTATTCACGCTAGCATCATCCCTCTCATTCACAGGCAAGCTCATTTGTGGTGACTTCAATATGCCCGAAATTTCTTGGCTGCCAGTCAAAGCGCCGAGACGTTATGAATCATTTATTGAATGTCTAGAGCTTGGACAATGGACTCAGTATGTCGATAGTCCTACCAGACATCAAAACATCTTAGACTTAGTCTTTACCAGTGGCCTCATCCCCAATACTTTGTATATTGGAAAAAAGTTCCCAGGTAGTGATCATAACATTGTCATATGCAGCCTTAATGTAAAAACCACAACCGATAGAAGTAAAACCGTAACACTTCGTAGAAACTATCGCAAGGTTGATTGGAATAACTTCCACAATTACCTAAGAAGCACTGATTGGAGAACTTTCTTTACCTCAAACAATACCGACACATTAACCAATATATTTTATCACAACATCAAAAGTATCATCAACAACATCGCACCTTTAGAATACTGTAAACCTACGTTCTCCAAAGATCTCTATATACCGGTCAGTACAAGAAGACGTCTTCAAAGACATTGTACTCGATTCCACAACTTAAATGACTTTTCCTCTTTAGTAACGATGACAGAAATACTTGCCCGAACAGAGGCAATAAGTAAACAAAAAGCAGTAGCACAGGAAAAACGTGCAGTTGAACTTAATAATAACTCCTCTGCACTCACCATACTACTCCAAAATAAACTTAAACGCTCTAAATCGAGAGGGAGTATATTCATTAAAGGCAAACAAGTATACGAAGATCCCAAACTTATCACAGAATTATTCAGTGAACATTTTTGTTTCTCACTAACTAACGAAAAACCATTTAATGATTCAGAACCAATCCCAGTAACTCCCTGTGAAATTACTAATGTAGAATTCAGTGTACAAAATATCTCCAAAGCAATCAGTACATTGAAACACTCCTACACTGATGGACCAGATGGTATTCCATCTAGCATGCTAAAACGTGGAGGTGATGATATGTGTGTTTTGCTTCTCAAACTATTCGCGATATCACTCTCTTCAGCGTGTTACCCTACTGCCTGGAAAACTACACATATCATTCCCAAAATTAAAACAGGACCTGAAGCAAACGTTGAAAATTACCGGCCTATAAACATAACTTCAGTGGTATCCAGAGTAATGGAAAAAGTAGTTAAGGCGGCTGTAGTCCAACATCTATTAACTAACAATCTCTTGTCGACCTCCCAGCATGGATTTCTTAGGTCCAGATCATGCGATACATGCCTAGTAGACTACCTGAATGATATAACTCTGAAACGAGACAGCGGACTCCTTGTATCAGTCCTATTCCTAGACTTTAAGAAAGCCTTTGATAAGGTCCCACACAAAAGGCTACTCGTCAAACTAAAGTCCTTCGGAATACACAACCCACTGTACTCATGGTTTGCTTCGTTCTTAACAGAACGTAAACAGATGGTAAAGTACAATGACTGTCTCTCGTCCCCTAGACCAATCACCAGTGGAGTCATCCAGGGAAGCGTATTAGGGCCACTTTTGTTTCTTATGTATATAAACGATATATGTAACACCATAGAATTTGGGAAACCGTACTTATATGCTGACGATCTCAAAATAGTATACAGCTATAAGCCTGAGACACTAAGCGAAAGTGTATCCCAGATCCAAAAGGACCTCAATAACTTAACTATATGGAGTGAAAAATGGCAATTACCATTTAACCTCAACAAGTGCGGGATCATGCACTTTGGAAAGCATCCCTATAAACCGCGACTTCACTTAAATGAATGTATAGTCCAAACACTCGAATCAGTACACGATTTAGGAATTAATTACACAGGAAGCCTAAACTTTGAAGAACATGCCTCCTCTATTATTTCTAAATCTAGACGGCTAATTGGTTTTATAATGAAAAACTTTTTCACAACAGAGGGTAAACTTACTCTCTACAAAATATGTGTACGACCCACCCTTGAATACTGCTCTTTTGTGTT